GGGGACCCGGACGCCCCGCCCCCTTCCGTGCCCTCCCCGCGTCGGTGCCCCCCGCCCCCTTTCTCCCGGGATACCCCTCTGGGACAGAGGCGACGGGGTCCGACCTCTCCGCTTCCTCCCAAGGCGCGTATCAAGAAGATCATGCAGACGGACGAAGAGATTGGGAAGGTGGCGGCGGCTGTGCCTGTCATCATCTGTATCCTGTCCAGAGCCGGCCGGGTTGAGGGACGTGGGGGAGGGAGGCAGCCCGGGGTCCTCTTGTGTGGGCTTGGGCCCCACTCCCGCGTTCTCCTTGACGCCCCTGAGCCCGGGCGCTCGAGCTCTTCCTGGAGTCGCTGTTGAAGAAGGCCTGCCAGGTGACCCAGTCGCGAAACGCCAAGACTATGACCACGTCCCACCTGTGAGTGGCGGCGGAGCTGGAAGGGCCCGGTGGGGCCCTGCCCCAGGAGTTCACACACTTAAGAGAAGCTGTGTCCTGACGGGGAGGTGGGAGGCTGCTGGGAGACCAGCAAGACTTTAGAGACTGGCGGCTTTGAACTTGGAGAGGAGGGGCTGGGTGTTCCAGCAAAGGGATGAGGTCAGGTGGTGGAGGTGGGTGGAGGTTTTCCAGGCTTTATTCTCTTGACATCCAGAGCTTCTTGCTGTTCCGTGCTGAGAGCCCAGACACCTGGGCCCTGCCAGATGCCATCTGCTCCTCACCTCTTTCAGGAAGCAGTGCATTGAGCTGGAGCAGCAGTTTGACTTCTTAAAGGACTTGGTGGCATCCGTGCCTGACATGCAGGGGGATGGGGAAGACAACCACATGGATGGGGACAAGGGCGCGCGCAGGTAGGGAGCCAGGGCCAAGTGTCCAGACGTGGAAGGTCAAGGCCATTGAGGTTAGAGGTGGCTGGGGGGTGGGGAAGAAGCGGGGAGACCTCTGGGCAGATGGATCGTACCTTCCCAAAGGGGCCGGAAGCCAGGCAACAGTGGCCGGAAGAATGGTGGAATGGGAAGCAAAGGCAAAGACAAGAAGCTGTCGGGGACAGACTCCGAACAGGAGGTGAGTGAAGCCCTCAGCCCTCTGTCCTGCCCTTCTGAGCTGGCTGGAGGCCTGGTCCCATCTTCACCTCGTGACCTTGTTGTTCCTCGGTTTCTTTGTTTGTAAATTGGAGCTATGGAGGGCAACCTCCTGTCTCTGCCACATCAGGGGTGTAGGCTCTTCAGTGATGGGCTCATGCCTTTCTTGTCACCTCTGACCCCTGCCTTGCTCCCAGGATGAGTCTGAGGACACTGACACTGATGGAGAAGAAGAGACACCGCAGGCGCTACCCCAGGCTAGCCACCCCCCTGCCCACTTTCAGAGGTAAGCAGCTCAGTGGCCCCAAGGCTGACTTGTTCCTCTTGGCCTCCCTGCTTCTGTTGGTTGTGGGAGGAACTGAGCAGTGTTTAAAGGCAGGAGCCTGTGCCCGGGGTAGGGCATTGGATGGGGCCTGGGCAGGGGCTGTGTGACCTGCCCTGGGCCCTTCCCTTCTCTGGGCTTGGCTCCCCTTTGCTACAGAGGGCGGCGGACTGTATGCTGCCCTGTGGAGGGCGGGACGAGGCTCAGTGGGCAGGACTGGGTCCTGGAGAGTGGCCTGATCTTCCTCTCCTGCTTTCTGTCCTGCAGCCCCCCAACACCTTTCATGCCCTTCACCTCAACTCTGCCTCTGCCCCCAGCACCCCCGGGCCCCTCAGCACCTGATGCAGAGGATGAAGAGGATTATGACTCCTAGCGCCCTCTGCCCCCCAGGCCACATCCCCTTTTAGTTGGTTTTAGTTGTTCTGGGGGGAGAAGAGGAGGTAGAACTGTTCTTAAATTTATTAAAAAATAATAATAAAAGGGAACTTCAGTGTCTGTCCCAGCCTCTCTCCAGGGCTTTGTGGCCACCTTTCCATTCATCCACCTGATTTCCCCACACTGGACTGGAGCCAGGAGCCGTGGTGGGCCGGGCAGCGGCCAAGTGCAGGGAGGGGCTTCAGGCCTCAGATCTGCCAGGGCAGGAGCCGGGGTGCTGATAGAAACGCGGATAGAGCGGCGTAGGGCCTGAGCCGGCAGCTGCTGGTTGTGCCAGTGACAGCCTGTCTCATTGTGCTGTGTGACCCTGGGCAGATTCCTACCGCTCTCTGAGCAGCTGCTTCTTGTCTCTCTTATGGAGATCGTTCTGCCCACTCTGGGCTGCTGCAAAGGGACAGACAGGATGAGCTCTGTGCCTGGTGCCGTGATGGTGGGGGAGGGGCAGTGGGAGCAGAGGTAGGGGAGATTGTGGAAGGCCTCGAAGGCCGGCTCGTGAGTTGGGCAGGGACCCAGTCAGTCAGTCCACATCCATTTCTGAGCAGATGCTGGTGCTTTCGGAGAGCAGTGGCTTGGCGAGGTTGGGCAGGAGGCGTGGGGAGCAGTGGGCAGACTCGAGGTCCATGGTGGCAGTGACTCAAGAGCACTGCTGGCTGCCTGGACATGGCACTGAGAGGGAATGACCCTTCAAAGGCGTTCAGGTTTCTTTCTGCAGCTACTTGGGCAGGGGTCTTCTCCAGCTGGGGGACCCCAGGAAGAGCAGGATTAGGCCTGAGGATCACAAGTTTGGCTATGATGAATTTGGGGTGCCTGTGAGGCCACCGAGGAGAGATATGGAGTGGGCACGTGGGCATAGGTGCCCGGAGACAGATGTGTAAACCTTGAGAGGAGGTGACCTCGCCCTAGGGAGAAAGGGACAGCTCTTCATAGGAGACTGAAGAGCAGCCAGACCCAGGAGCCCCTCGGAGTGCCCAACCAGGGGTGTTTGGGAGGAGGGAGTGGCCAGCTGTGAAATGCTAGGACACCCTGTAGGCTTCAGGGAGGCCTTCGCCAGAGCTGCCTCAGTGGCTTGGGGGTTGTTGACAAGCTGAGGAGAGCTGCAGGTGAGAAACTGAGGTGAGCTGAAGCAGCACCACTCAGCGGTAGGAGGAAAAGGAGAAAGCAGTGGCTCAGAGTGAGTGAGGAAGAAGTTGTTTTGTTTTTTTTTTAAGATGTAGAAATGCAGGCTTGTAATGAGGGAGGGGTCGAAAGGACAGGAAGAGGGACAATCAATGGAGTGAGGTGGGGGGGTGCCCAAGGCGACCCCAACCTGATGAGGGAGAGTGAGTAGGTTTAGGTGAGGGGATTGTGGTGTTCAGTTTTTATTTGAGGCGTCTTGACTTCTGCGAAACAGGAGGCTGCGGGCAGGTGTGGGTGGCCCAGGGCAGCTGGAGACTGGAGCACGTGGGTCCTGTCTGCCTCTCATCTGCTCCCACTCTGGGTCTGGTGCCTCTGCTTTCTTTTGGGGAACCATCTACTCATCCTGCAGTGTGTACCGCAGACCCCACTCCCTGGGGTTGAGGGATGGGAACCTCGAACCAGCTTGGCCAATCACAGCCCACACACACTCTGACCGCAGTGAGTGGTGCAGGCCGGACGTGACCACTGGAACTTCAGGTGGGACCACTGAGAAAGGGTTTTGTCATGATCACTGGCTTCCCTGTGGCTTAGAGGGCAGCAGGGAACCCTCTCAGAAGTCTGGGTGAGGGCAATGGCAGCCATACTAGGGTAGCAATGCTGACAGAATGTAGGCCAGGAGCTGCTGTGCTACTGAGGGGCGATCGCGACGGAACAAGGCCAGCACGGTAGAACCAGGAGGCTCAGAGGCCCGGATGTCTGATGGCACCTGAACACCTGGGCCCAGTCTTGCCCGAAGCCTGCCTACCTCGAGTCTCTTAGTCACGTGAGCCAATAAACGTTTTATTCTCCCTCGGAGTCAGCTGGGTTTCTGTCACTTGGAATTGAAAGTGCTCTGGCTGCCAGGGACCATGAATGGGAGGCGGCTCCCGTGGGCCCAGGAGCGGGAGTGGTTTTCTCTAGTGGCATGTTGGGTTCGGTCCCAGGGAAGTTGGGCACCTGGGCCCACTGAGCTGAGAGCACGCCAGGCGGCTGTGAGGAATGGCGGCGGGAGAGGAAGAGACCTGGGAGCCTTTTGCTGGGCTTCAAAAAGGTGAGATTCTGAACTGAGAGGGTTTAGAATGGCTAGGCTGGGTGACGACTGTGAAGGCGAGGAGGCCGAGGTACAGGGACCATTTTCATCCAGGCAAAAGCTCCACGAGGCACAGGTGGGGGTGGAGATAGCCAGGAGCCCCTGGCCTGAGCCTCTGCTTCTCAGCCCGTTGGTTCAGTCTTGGGAGAGTTCTCAGGAGTAGAACCTCTGGAGCCAGGCCACGGGTTCAAATCCCATTTTCGCCACCATTAACCTTAAACAAGTTCTGTAGCTTCTCTGTGTCTCAGTTTTCTCATCTGTAAAATGAGGCTAGTGGTTACTTATGTTGGTTATAGATACTATAGTGTACATACTAGTTATGCTGATTAGTTAGAGCCAAGAGCTAATGTAACAAACTCAAAGTACATAGGCTCAAATGCAATGAAGTTTATTTCATGTTCGCATAGAATTCATAATGGGATTTTCTGATCAGTGGGTGGCACTTCTCTGAGGGACTTCAGGGCCCAGGCTCTTTCCATCTGTGGCCCCGCCACCATCCCCTCCCATGACTGTCAAGGTCACTGGGGAAGGGCAAAGCTCAGAGCCCATGGAGGTTTTTCTAGGCCAGGACTAGAAGTGGCCTCATTCTCTCTGTCCATTTCCCATTGGAACTGTCACAAAGTCCTACCCAAGGGAGGCTAGGAGAGGTGGCCTAGCCATCCTGGGCGACTGACCAGCCAGTTTCTGCTGTAGGACCTCAGGACCTTCCCAAGGGCCTGGCTCAACCTCTGCCAAGTGTCAATTGTGCAGCCTCCTGAGCCAGAGGGCAGGGGCCCTGGGGAGGACAGGGCTCTTGGCTGGGCCTGGCCTCTGGCTGCCTCCTGGGAGTGGGGAAATATGGCTCTTCTCTGTGGGTATCACCGGGCACCCAGCGGGCAGCTTGCAAATACCCCATCTGCGGAGCTCTACCTGGGAACCAGGTGAATTTCTTTCTTCATTCTTTATCCATTGGGGAGCCTCGAGTCTCGGGCCAAGTCCTATCTGAATGCCTCAGTCAGCCTCGGCTGTGCCCTGGGGTGTAAGTATGACCAGTGTGTGAAGTGGGGAGCAGCCTCTAAGGCCAGTGTGGGAGTCAGGGACCCTGACCTTCTGGTGAAGGGTCTGGGCCCACACGTTCCTGCCAAGTGGCGAGCCTCCGTCCACATCCCACCTAAGGGTTCATCCAGAAAATGTTTATTGAGCACCCGCTGTCTTCACTCAGCAGGGAAATGAGATGCCATAGTCACCTGCCACAAGCCTGAAACTTAAGTCTGGCATCACCAGATGCTGGAGAGGAGGTGGCGACTCCAGACCCACACTGCTGGTGGCAATGTCGGCTGGTGCAGCCACCTTAGGGAAATGTTTGGCAGTTTCTCATGGAGTCTGTTGACATGCACGTCCCTGTGACACGACAGCCCCCATGCTAGGCACACGTCCACCACAAGAATGTTCATAGCCCCAAGCTGGACACACCCCAAATGCCCCTCAAGAAGAGCGTGAATAAATCAGTGGTAGAATGTTGTATCATTACGGCAATAAAGAGAACAAACGTGTGACACACGACATCGTGGGTGAATCTTGTAGACGCTGTGTTGAGCAAAAGAAGCCAAACAGTACACACGGTGACATCATTCATTTGCATGAAGTTCAGGGACAGGTGAAACCAACCGATGGTAATGGAAGTCGGTATAACGGTTACTTCAGGGGATGAGGGTTGACTGGGAAGGCGGCACGATGGAAGCTTCTGGAACTGTTCTGTAGCTTGAACTGCTGGGTGGTGGTTGGATATAAAAATACATTAAGCTGCACACTTAAGATGCGTGCACTTTTATGATATCCTCATAAAATTATTTATCTGTCTATTGAGACCCTGTTAGGCTCCAGACACTAGTCTAGGTAGTGGCAATTATGTGAACAAAATGTTCTTGGGGTTTATTTCTGTTGGGGAGAGCCAGACAATAAAGAACACACAAAGTATGTCAGATGGGGCAAAAAAAGGCATAGTAAGGGAGGAGTCGGGAGTCCCAGGCAGGACAGGCGGCCCCAGCCATCCTATACGGGGTTCAGGGAAGACTGATACTCTGAGGTTTGAGTGGAAAAACCCCATTAAGCGGGGAGTGGGTGGGCCGCACAGCTCTCTGGGGAGAGGGCTCCAGGCAGAGGGGCCGCGAGGGCAAAGGCCAGGAGGGTTGAAATGTGATTCTGCTGGGTTTCCCTCCATTCTCCTGGCTCCCACTTCCTCAGCAGCACCCCCTGTCCTCGGCCGGCCTTGGCCGAGTGTCCTGTGGCACTGGCAGCCCCTCAGCGCCCCAGAAGCTTCGTGGAGGGGAAGAAAGTAGTAGTGTGGGTACTGGAGGAGCCCTCCCCCACACCTGCCCCAGGTGCTGCTGGTGGAGGAGACAACGGGAGGGATAGTTTGGGGGTGGAGTGACCTGACCTGCCATCCACTGGCCCCGAGGTGTGAGATCTGCCCCCGCTGTGTGCCGAGTGACCTCACCTCTCCGCCTCTCCAGGCTCCGCCTTCCACATCCATCAGGTGGGGCTATTGACACCGCCCCTCGTGGCCGAGCGGAGTGCAGGGGTGTTGCCGCAGCTGTCGCCCTGCCCTTGCTCTAGCTGAGTCCATATTAGTTCCCCGACACTCTGAGCGCTCCTCTGGAAGAGGGGTCCTCATTGCCCCCGTTTTACGGATGAGGAGACTGAGCCTGTGGAAGTGACATGAATGGCCTGAGTTTGCTCATTGGCACAGAGGTGGGCAGGGGCTGTACACAGGCCTACGTTGTGTGTGGGGGTGGGGCTAAGGACTTCCCCCTACCTGAGGTCCCCCATCCCTTCCCAGGTATGATAGGCTTGGCTCCAGGACATGGATGGGACCAAGTTCCCACTCTTCTAGGCTATGAGCACAGTGGCAAGGAATGGCACCTGTGACCAAGGTGCCAGGGCCTGGTCCCTTCTCTCCTACGGTGGAGGTTTTGGTGAGAGTGGCAAGTTGGCTCTGGACTCTCAGGGGGCTCCTCATAGCTGGGGAATGGGGCAGGGGCTGTGTGACACTGACCTTCCACTATCAGAGTGAGCTATGTTTAGTGTGAAATCATGTCCTTCCTATTTTATGTGTACACATCTTCAAATGTCATTTTTAAAAATGGGATAAGGGCTAAGATTTCTGCACCCACCCCAGTAATCAGAGAGCCGCGAAGGAAAACACAAAATTCCACATGACACCCATCAGGTTGTCAAGAATAGGAAGTCAGATAAAACGGGATCACTGGTGGGGAGGCGGGTAAATGGAAGTCTGGTGTTTTTTGAGGGAATGTGAACCAGCA